ATTCACTCTGCCTGAAATTCATTCAGATGGATTTACAGGGGAATATTGTAAGTCATTTAAACTTATTTTGGGCCCCTATCTTAGCAAAGTATATGAAGCTTCTGCGGCCTCTGCAAACTTCCCTCCTGACATGTTAGAAGCAATGATTGTTATCCTGCGAAGTTGGAAAAATCACCTGACAAAATTCCAAATTTCTGCCCCATTTCCCTACTTAACAATGACCTCAAAATCTATGCCAAACTTATAGCTTCATGCTTGATGGAAATTATGCACTCATTAATCCATTTAGACCAATCTGGTTTTACTAAAGGGAGACAAACATCAGATGCCATAACAAGACTTCTCAGTATGATACACCTAGCAAAGCAAAGTAGAATGCCCCTTGCACTGGACTCACAGAAGGTGTTCAACAGGAGCTATCTCACCAAAGTGCTATCTAAATTTGGGTTTACTGGTGTTCAACGGAAGCTATCTCACCAAAGTGCTATCTAAATTTGGGTTTACTGGCCACATCCTATCAGCCATTTTGGCTCTATATACCTTTCCATCAACAAGAGTCTGTTCATCTGGGATGCTATCCCAACCATTCCAAATAACTAATGGCACCTGGCAGGGGTGTCCACTATCACCACTCATTTTTAACCTGCTAATGGAGCCCTTAGCATCACATATCAGGCAACATCCTGACATCCATGGATTTAAAGTAGGCCCTCATGAATACGTCATCAGTCTATTTGCAGATGATATCATTCTCATGCTTACCCAGATGTCTAAATCCTTAGCGGTGGTGTATCAGTCTTTGCAATTATTTAACCAAATGTCATACTATAAAGTAAATGCATCGAAATTACACATATTAGATCTCGGTGTGGAAACTTCTGTTCAAAAAGGATTACAACTTGCTTACCCATTTGAGTGGAAGGATGATGGTACCCTCTTATTTGGGGACTATAATTACTAATTCATCAGAGTCTCTTCACACAGCTAACTTCTTACCTCTGTTAAGTACACTTAAAAACCAGCTATCACATTTGTCTAAACATGAATTGTCTTTGCCAGGCAGGATAGTGGCATTTAAAATGCAACTCCTCCCCCAACTTCTTGTTTCTTCTGTTTTTTGAACTGTATCTATTACAGTCCCTCAATCATACTTTGCTTCTTTACAATCTACACTAAACAAATATCTATGGCAAGGCAGAAAAGCACGCTGTGCATTTAGTAAGCTGATAAAACACAGGTCAGCAGGAGGTCTGGGTCTTACTGATTTACAGGACTACTACCTAGTTGCCATATTAGCGCAAACTAAGCTCTGGTTCTTGGAAACAACCCGCATGCTATGGTGCATCTTAGAACAGGCAATGCTGCCATATAGTGACTTAATCTCACATCTTTATGTAAGTCACTATTTACGTGTCATACCAAATACACTTTCACTAACCAGTCAAGCCACCCTGGCAGCATGACAAGCGTTTCTAATTTCCTTTATGGGACTTACCACTATGTCTGAACTACCTATCCCTATCATATATCTGACAGCCCTTACTCCTGACTTATCTCTAACCTCCTGGTAATGTCAGGGCATAAATACAATCAAGGATCTGTACAGTGGCAAATCCCTTAAGTCATTCCCCACTTTATGCCTATAGTATGCCCTACCACACACAGAATATTATACTTACCTCTGTGTAATGTCACTAGTGATGGGCCGAACACTCCCCTGTTTGGTGCGGTTGAACATTCAAATCTAACGAAAGTTCGACTGCGAAACTCAAACAGGGACAATTCCTTACGCAGTATCTTATCTCATCTGAGTATGCGGTAAGATACTGCACAGCTACTCAAATACCGCATGAGTTATATTATTAAGTCATATGTAATTTTAGTAGTGAAAACTTTCTTTAATGTTTCAGCTGTCAGCGGGGTTCCCCACTGACAGCTGAATGTAAAACGAATTGCTGGCATTGCCTGCCAATTAAACATTTTTTTTAAAACTGCATGGGGTCCCCCCTATCCATATCAAGCCCTTCAGGTCTGATATGAATTTTGGAGGGAACCCCCCACGCCAAAATTTTTTAGAAAATGGCATAGGGGTCCCCACCAAATCCACACCAGACCCTTGTTCGAGCAGCCCGGCAGGTCAGGAAAGGGAGGTGACAAGCGAGCAAGCTCCTTCCGCCTGAACCATACCAGACCACATACCCACAACATGGGGGGGCAGAGGACACCCCCCAAAGCACCTTGTCGCAATGTTGATTAGGACAAGGGCCCCCAGACCCTGATCCCCCCACGTGAGTATGGGGTACATTGTACCACTATTCATTCACAAAAAAAAAGTTTTGTTAAGAAAATGACAGTACACAGTATTTTTCAAGTCCTTTATTAAAAACAAAATTAACCCCCCCCCCCCCGAAATAGATCCAGTGTAAATCACGATGCCCGCTGCCACCGCCAACCTGAAAAAAGCTCCACTCTCAACGCTGGCTCCCGCCATCTGACAGCTGCGCCTGGGTGACAGTTCTTAAATACTGTGATGACATGAAAAGGGGCCGGGGTCACCAACTCAAGTTCCTCATGTTTTCTTTCTTTCATTTTTTCTTCTAATTTGGTCTGATTTGGTTTCCAGATTTTTATTTGGTATGGTTGGCATATCACTGTAATCAAGTTTAGATGCTGACACTCCTCTCTTATTTTTTGTGTGTAGAATTTGGAAATGTAGCAGATTAGTGTTCAATCTGTTTGAGTTCTATTTATAAAAGTTGCTAGTTCAAAGTGTCACGTTCCCGTTTTCATTCCCCTGTGTCATTCACTAGCCATTTTCAAAAAATGTAGTAGAAACTACAGGATAGTGATCTAAAAAGACAATGACTGGTTTCTTCTAAATATGCAAACTTAAAAAAAGAGTATTTCCCAAATCTGGAGATAAAAATGAAATAATTCAAAATATCGAGCATCATTCTACAAAATGCTGAGATGAAGTAGTCAGGTTTAGCAATTTTATAGTGCCAAACTAATCTAGCATACTATTTTATTTTATTTTTTTTCAATATTGATGTCTAATCTAATACATATAGGGTTGATTTACTAAAGGTAAATATACTCTGCACTGTAAGTGCAACCACAAGTGCAACCGCAAGTGCACTACAAGTGCAGTTGCTCTAGATCTGAGGGGAAGCTTTGAAATGAGGGGAAGCTCTGCTAATTTCTACCATCCAATATTTTCCTTGCATGAGATTTGGTATTCTTTGCAAAGTGAAACAACTGCACTTGCAGTGCACAGTTTATTTGCCTTTAGTAAATCACCCCCATAAATATGAGGTTCTGAGCTAATGGTTGGGAACAGCAAATGTGGCTCTTCAAATTATAAATAAGTTTTACGTATAACTAAAGGCAAAAATATTTTCTTAACAGTTGTGAGGGACACCTGTCAAGTTATTTATTGCTGTCTGTGCCTCCTTTAGGAAGATTCACCCTCTCTATTTGTCCTGTTTATTGGTATCACCAAAAGAAGGTAAAAAATAATCTTGAGTTGAGAACAGGAGGAATATTTTACAATGGTGATACTAGTATTGGTGGCCCTGGTGACAACTAAGAATTCCCTGACTTTAGAAGGATTTCCTCTCCCAACCTGTTCTGGCTATGGGACAAGAAGTCAAACTAAAATCTCTCCAATGGGAAAAGAGGGAAAAAAAAACTGACAGAGATATAACCTTTCCTTACTCTATCCAAAATTTAAAAAAAACGCCTTTAGCTTTTTAATTGTGGAGTAGAACTAAAATCACAAGAAGAACCATTAAAATAGTCCCCTGTGTGTTTTTCCTTTTCAGAGTAATGCTAGTTTCAAAGTACATTTGTGGGTTTAAAAATATATTGTTATATGTTGTGATTTATTATGTACTTATCCATGTACTTGAAGATTCAGAGTTAAAAAAAATCTAAATTAAATTAAAATTTGAAAATTAATTATGTGCCCTGATATTAAACCCAATACCAATTATGTCATCTGGTATTGTAGTTCCTCATCAATCACAACAACCTGCTTCCCAATCATGTTGACCCATCACCTTTAAGACCTACCACACAAATCGCAGATCCCCATCTGGTTTCTGTTCATCAACAAATCAGCTTGATATCCTAGGTGACATCATCGACAAAATATGGTCATGTCTATATTTGGTCAATTTCATCCCCTAGCATCTCCAGTCAGTTTGTTTGTCCAACCTACCTCTACAAAATGAAAGCTCTCCAGCTGTTTTCTGTTTGTCAACAAACCAGCAAGGGATCTGTTATTTAACAGCCTTAGCACTAGCAGTAGTATTACTGCTGCTGAATGGCAGGTCTCCACTGGGTCATCATGGATCAGGTCGACATTATTGGGCATTAGGTCATTGTGACTGATGAGGATCCACATTACTGGCTGATAAGATCTTGGTACTAACATGTAGCAAAACCCATCTCCACTATCAGGAGCTCTGCTGAACATCAGTTAGTGCTTAGACCCTGCATTTTGGGTGAGCATGTGTCAGCCACTTATCCAGCTGGTTGTTGGGAACTTCTCTACTGCTTTAGCCGTGTGCCTCTGAGCCTGACCCCTGACTGTGACAAGCTAGTTCTTGCCAGCTCAGTAGATTGTTTTAAAAAAGGCCTGGATTCTTTCGTTATTACACAAAATATAACTGGATACAAATACATGTAGGTAAAGATGATCCAGGAAATATCTGACTGCCTCTTGGGGAATCAGGAAGGAATTTCTTCCCCTGCTGGAGCAAATTGGCTCATGCTTTGTTGGGGTTTTTTGCCTTCCTCTTAACTGTGGGTGTACGGGTTTTTTTTGGGGAGTTTTTTTATGTGTGTGTGCTTTTATTTCTTTAGTGAGTCTGGTTGAAAAAAAAAAACACATCCATCCAGTTCAACCTATACACTATATTGCCAAAAGTATGGGGACTCAGGTGTTCCAATCATCATCTCCATGGCCACAGGTGTATAAAATGAAGCACCTAGGCATGCAGACTGCTTCTACAAACATTTGTGAAAGAATGGGCTGCTCTCAGGAGCTCAGTGAATTCAAGCGTGGTACCATGATAGGTTGTCACCTGTACAATAAGTCTGTCCGTAAAATTTCCTTGCTACTAAATATTCCACAGTCAACTGTTAGTGGTACTATAACAAAGTGGAAGCAACTGGAAACAACAGTAATTAAGCCTCAAAGTGGTAGGCCACGTAAAATTACAGAGCGGGGTCAGCGCATGCTGAAGCACACAGTGCGCAGAAATGGGCAACTGTCTGCAGAGTCAATAGCTAAATACCTCCACACTTTATGTGGTCTTCAGATTAGCACAAAAGTGCATGCAAAATATTGGATGCAGTGGTGTAAAGCATGCCACTACTGGACACTAAAGCTGCGAAGACATGTTCTCTGGAGTGACGAATCATGCTTCTCTGAATGGCAATCTAATGGATGTGTTTCGGTTTGGCGATTGCCAGGAGAACTGTACTTGCCTGACTGCATTGTGCCAAGTGTAAAGTTTGGTGGTGGGGTTATTATGGTGCGGGGTTGTTTTTCAAGGGTTGGGCTTGGCCCCTTAGTTCCAGTGAAGGGAACTCTTAAGGCATCAAGACATTTTGGACAATTTCATGCTCCCAACTTTGTGGGAACAGTTTGGGGATGGCCCCTTCCTGTTCCAACATGACTGCGCACCAGTGCACAAACCAAGGTCCATAAAGACATGGATGAGCAAGTTTTAGGGTGGAGGAAATTGACTGACATGCACAGAGTCCTGACCTCAACCCGATTGAATAGCTTTGGGATGAATTAGAGTGGAGACTGCGAGCCAGGCCTTCTTGACTCATATCAGTGCCTGACCTCACAAATTTACTTCTACAAGAATGATCAAACATTCCCATAGACACACTCCTAAACCATGTGGACAGCCTTCCCACAAGAGTTATAGCTGTTATAGCTGCAAAGGGTGGGCCAACGAACTAAGACTTGGATGCCATTAAAGTTCATGTGCGTGTATAGGCAGGTGTCCCAATACTATTGTTAATATAGTGTATGTAACTATGTTACATCATTTACTACATCATTTGCATATGTTATGTAAAGTGACTATCTCTGGAGATTCTGGAGATAACAGATATGTTATTGATTTTTATGTGGAATGTAAAAGTCCTAAATTGTTTATAAATCTAATCTTTTGTTCACTTCGTAGATTGAGAGAATGGTATAATTTTTAAATGATCTTTAAAATACTTAAATGACAAGTTTCATATAATTTAAATACAATTCCAACACGTTCATGCTTCAGTTTTTTTGGCATTATTTATCAATGAACCATTAATATTGCTATCTCCCACTTTGTGAAGTGATTTGTGGTGTGGGGCTGACAACGATAGTCCCTCCAGCATTGTCATAACTTGAAGTTTTCCCCAAAAGTATAATGCTAATGGGCATTAGAAAACTGCCCAATATGTTTCATCTTCTTATGCAGGGCACAGGACTGTTGATCTGTCTCTGCCCACCACCCACAGAAGGAGACATAAATTTGATGGTTAGCAGTCCTGTTTTTATCTTAGCACTGTAATAAGAGACAGCTACTGTATATAGCCTTGTGCTTTTACATTTTATTCATTTTAATAAAACTTGTCACATAAGAAGTCTACTTGCATCTATGCTTACTTTTTTTTACTAAAGGATTAGTATATATTTTTGTGGAAAAACAACTACATACTTGAACATATCTAGCAAAATAATATGTGTAATGTGTGGACACATTAATCACTTGTTCATCTGCTCACATAATGCTGCCAGGGCATCACTGTTACTGTAGTTACGGGCTTGGTTTTGCCTGTCTGTTTGGTTTCAGGCCTCAAATGCTAACACTAATCTGTCAAGCAAGCTGTTCCATTGGCAATGTCCAATGCTTGCATGCTGGGTTGGGTGGCATATATCCTCAGATAAAGTAGATATTCTATCTATTAACTGCTTATGAAATGCAGTTCAGATATTATATGGAAGGCCCAAAAACAGCAGATTCAGCTTCTGCTTTTTCTTTTACCTAGTTTCTGTATTGAGAAATAGAAAATCCTTTGTGAAATGCATGAGACTTTGATGCAGACTTATTTTGCTTCATAACAAATTGATTTTTGTCTGAAAATTAGATTTTTGGAGATTCAGATTTCTACGAATCTCCAAATGGACATAGTAACGAATGTAAACGCATCTGAAAAAAGTTAGAACTACATTAACAAATGCATTTGTTTCATTCAGATGACACCACATGATTCAATAGTAGTTTGGGTCCATGGTGAAATCAATAAAATTTTCAACTTTGTTCTGCTTGAGGTGATTGTAGCTGTATTAGTGCTTTAGAAATTTGTTCTATAATTCGGGTTAAAGTAAATTTGTGATTTACCCAGAATTTGTAATTGTCACAGTCAGTCAGATCAGTTCCACAGTCTAATGCAATTCTTAGGTTTGCAAAACTCAGGCCATGGAACTTTGCTTTATTTATTCCGAAAATATTGAATCCTTCCAAATAGTTTCAATATATGAATATTGTATCCACCAGAAATATATAGCAATCTTCTGACAAACTGCTAAATTTTTCAAATATACCCAGACCAGTGAAAATATGAAACTAATGCTGAATATAACAAAATGAATCCTGAAAATGGATTGGTTCAACATAATGAATGGGATGAAACAATATTCTTCAATGAATGATTGCATCCAAAACAAAACAAAAATTTCAGGCGTGCACATGTCTACTTCAGGCTATGTTAGTTTATATGGGCCTTGGATACTCCTGACACCATGGTTTTCTTCAGGTTTATATACTGTATATCCTGCTAGCTACTGGTGTCACATATGAAACATGAATAATTTAATCTTCAAAGGAAAATTTTCACACCTTGAAAAATATAAAACTGCACAAGAAAAGATCAGCTAATGTACCTGATAGTGTAAACATAAGTCTGGAATAAATAACTAAACTTAATTTATCTAACATCTACACAAAGCCACAATTTGGTGACAAAAATGGTCAGATTCAAATTTCATGTCTGTTTTTATGTTTTTAATTTTAAATCAGCTTACAGTGGTTCTAAACCTCTAAAATAAAAAAAAAATAACAAAGCATATCTTCATACAATGCATACTTGCCCCATCTATAGCACTTAGTGTGGAGCCTGTCTGCTCCCTCCTTCCTCTGCTATCTGCAGGAGTCACTTCTGATAGTTTTTCCAGATACCAGGCATTCCAAGAAGATAGTTCACCCCCCCATCACCCCCTCCCCCCCCCCCCCCCCCGACCACCACCACCACCACCAGCACACAGCAGGTGATTGACAGTTTCAGGTGTGCATATTTCCCAGTGAGAGGGAGATGTTTTTATGTTTTTCCTCTACTCAGGTCTCAGATTACACCCTGTGCTTTGCAGTGTGTGACATCTGATCCCACCCCACCTCCTGGAAGCTAACAAATGCCATGTAAACTGTGTACCTTGGTAGGCTGTAGAGGAGAGAAGGCTACAGATAAACAGGCAAAGCTTAGGTAGGAGGATTTAATTAAGTGTATCCTCAGTGGCCTTATGTAAAGATCTATTATCACTTTAAGGCACGTTTGACAAAAAGCCGGGAAGTTATATGGAAGACAGCAGTATTATAAACTTCCATTAGCTATAGTCTTCAAAAGACTTTTGATAAGTCCCCTTTTAAACCCTTTTATTTTCCTACTGTGGATGTCTGTTTTTAATATCCTTTCTGTTTTTCTTTTCTTTCTATTAATAAAAAATATTTTTTAAAAATCATTAGGCTGAATTTCTGAATGTTCTAATTAGAGATTAAAGATTCTCTCTAAATAATCTACCATTTACATTCTGTTACATTCCTGTCTGGGCAGTGAGCGAGACAGACCTTTTTTTAAAGGTCAGAATTGCCATTAGCAGATGCTCTGATTGGTGTGTGTTTCCATTAAAAACACCTGATGGTGACTATAGTGTGTGTTTGTGAAGAATTACCTACTCAGGTAGTCTGATGATCCTTATCAATCTGCTGGTACTCAGATATGTGTCATACAGGCTCGATATCCAAAATATACAAGTAGAAAAGGCATGCAAAATAGCAGCTAAACAAATTCCATTCCTCATATAGATCAGAAATGTTCAGGGAAATCATAAAAACACCTACATATAATGGTGTGCAATAAAAATTGTACAATGTACATAGCATAACATGTAAGACTGAAAGGTGTCCCCAAAAAGTACAGAAATTGACAATGGACATAAGCAGTTGTCCCCAGCAGTTAGTATAACAGATAAAAGATTATTCAATAAAACAAGTCTCCAGAAAAAGTAGAAGAGCAGACCAAGGAAGGGGACAATAGCCAGGAGGACCAAATTTTTTACCTCCTCAATTTTAACCCAGTCCTAAAACCTAAATGCTAAAGAGATTACTCAACATCTACAGGGTCCCTCCATTGCTGGGTGAGACAATGGTTGGACCAGCAAGGGCATGATACAATAGATGCAGATGAACATATAGTACTTATGGCTATTTTACAGATCCTGTCTTGAAGCACCTTCTATGTGCTAAGAGTACTGGCTAGTATTTTGCTCTGAAGGTTTGTTTTAACTGACCCCTTACAACTAATCATTTTGAACACTTTCAGCAATAATTAAAGCAGCGTTAAACCCAAAACCAAAAATGTATCATATTGCAGCCAGGGGCAGACTGACAACTCATGGGGCCCCCGGCAATAGGGGATCATGGGACCCCTGTGTCCTCGCCCACACTCAAACCACATCCAAAAAAGCCTATGAAAGGTACCAAGGGCATCTCATGGGGCACCCTAGTGACCCCGGGCCCTCGGACAGTGCCAGAGTTCCCAAATGGTCAGTCTGCCCCTGATTGCAGCTGATCAAACATTAGTGGCTTCATTAGTTTTCTTTTCTTTGGCTTTTTTCCCCTCTGTTTTCATCTGGTGTCTGGCCATTAAAACACCTCCTGTATTAGTGAGACACTACTCTGGATGAATGAGCACAGGAGGCACAGCAGACAGCAGCTTAAATGTATTAGCAGATTTAAATACAATAAACGAATTGAAGCCAAACTCCAGCTCACATTATATAATGAGTTACAGTAAACAATTTTTTATTTTACTGTTGAGATAAATGTTTTACATGAATTAATAAAAGCTGATAATTTTAATCACCCCTGCCAGTAGTAAATTGACTGCCTCATCCTTATAAACTGATACATTCTGCTGGAGAGGTTGATATTTTGAAAAACTGACTTGCTGGCTGGATCACAGGATAAAAATAGAAGAGAAAGAAAGCCTAAAAAAGTAAACTAATTTTCCGTGGATCCGCATATTTATGTATCTGTCTTTGTGCTGGGAGTGCACCACACTGCGAGCTCCCAGCACAAAGACTGCGGTGTCACTGAGAGCACCCGGTCCCATTCTAATGATCGGGACCCTGGACCCCCGAATCCGGGTCACATGATCGCTGTGATAGCCTTTGATTGGCTGTCACAGTGATCAGTCACTGTGCAGCCCGGCCCCCTTGTTTTATTCTCTCTCTATGAATGGAGAAGAGAGATACATTGTATCTCTCTAACTCCTAGCATAGAGAGAAAAAAAAATGTTTGTTAAAAAAAAAAGATAAATAAATATTAAAAAAATAAAAGAAAAAATACCTAGATCAAGGATTGATCTAGTTCAGTGCCAGGGTTATTGTTTGGGTCAAGGTCAGGGTCAAATGGCAAGGTCAAAAGGTCAGGGCCAAAGGTCAGGATTTAAAAAAATTGGTATCAGTGTCATTTAGTGGCAGTGTGTTTTAGATAAAAAAAAAAAAAAAGGCGAAACAAAATCGCACTATTGTTTCTGGGCTGTACTACGGGTACAAACAACAAATAACATACACATATATGGCATAGCTGAAATTGTCAAGAGCTGGAGAATTTATTTTGGGTTGTTCTTTGGTGGTAGGTTATGGTAGTAACAAGAAACACACATCTAAATAAAAACATTTTTTTTTTTTTACTATTTTGGGCCAGTTTTCCTTTGTTAATAAAAAAAAAATCAGGAGATATCCATTACCATTTACCACCAAATGAAAGCCCAATTTGTCCTACGGTATAATTCACCTAGATGTACAAAGTAGCTGTGATGATATGTACAGTTTTACTAACACATGTCAACGTTGCAAAATTGTGCTTAGGCATTTAGATTTGTTTTACCCTTAGGCGTGAAGGGGTTAAAAAGGGTTGTATGACCACATCAAATAGTTTTCTTAAAGAAATTATTCTGGTTTTCTAACCAATATACACAAACATGTAATGACTATCTAATAACAGGTTAGATTCACATGCTGATGCAGGAAATCTAAAAGGTCCGAGGTGTCGTACAACTTCTTAGAACAATTGAAAAAGAAATACATATTGCATCAACATTGCTGATAAAAACAGCAATGATGCAGAATAGTAATTTATGCCATTGCAAGGCAAAACTACTAGCAACTTCCTAGGAGTCCAGGAGACTGTCTAGGATTTTGCTTCCATTTGACCTTCATTCGACCCACTTCTTAGATTGAATGCAGTTGACCCATGTTAGCTCTATATGCATCCCCATAGACTTGTATGTGAAGAGAAAGCACTTCAGTAACAAAACATTTTTTGACACTGACCCTTAAAATATTTTTATCTCTTATAGTAGCATGAAAGACCTACAGGCGCCATATAGTTTCACCTTCCCTGACCAGCAAAAGCTCATCACATTAGTGGAAGCCCATTCACAGGTACAAAGCAAGATAACAGAAGGGCATGAAACTACATATTGCCGTTCTACTCTCTTCAAATGTTGAAGTTATTTACATAAATTTCTATGATCTAATTCTCAGAGATCTACACCGAGTAGTCATATAATCATAACCCATGCACAAACAGCAGAATGCACAAGAGAAGAACCTCATAGAGGATTGGGAATTTCTAATTATATGTTGCAACAACAATTTAAAAATTCATAATTTTATTAGAATTCCATATCAAATATAAAATAATTTTTTTCAAAACCTATACATTTTTTTTACAGAAACAAACATTTGATTGAAGTGTTTACAACATATATTCTGCTGTAAATTGTCACGGTGTAGCAAATCTCTACGTTTCACCAAGTTAGGCTTCTTCAGGAGAGATATCCTACCACACCCTGTAGAAACTAATATGAAAATAAACAGAGTTTTAGCAAAAATATATTTGATTTATATAAATTAGCTTCATGTACAATATATTGCCAAAAGTATTGGGACGCCTGCCTTTACATGAACTTTAATGGCATTCTTAGTCCATAGGGTTCAATATTGAGCTGGCCCACCCTTTGCAGCTATAACTCTTCTGGGAAGGCTGTCCACAAGGTTTAGGAGTGTGTCTATGGGGATGTTTGACCATTCTTCCAGAAGCGCATTTGTGAGGTCAGGCACTGATGTTGGACGAGAAGGCCTGGCTCGCTGTCTCCACTATAATTTATCCCAAAGGTGTTCTATCTGGTTGAGGTCAGGACCTTTGTGCATGTCAGTCAAGTTCCTCCACCCTAAACTCGCTCATCCATGCCTTTATGGACCTTGCTTTGTGCACAGTTATGTTGGAACAGGAAGGGGCCATCCTCAAACTGTTCCCACAAGGTTGGGAGCATCAGATTGACCAAAATGTCTTGGTATGCTGACCCCTTAAGAGTTCCCTTCACTGGAACTAAGGGGCCAAGCCCAACCCCTGTAAGACAACCCCACACCATAATTCCCCCTCCACCAAACTTTACACTTGGCACAATGCAGTCAGGCAAGTACAGTTCTCCTGGTAACCACCATACCCAGACACGTCCATTGGATTGCTAGACAGAGAAGCGTGATTTGTCACTCCAGAGAACACATCTCCATTGCTCTAGAGTCCAGTGGCAGTGTGCTTTACACCACTGCATCCAAAGCTTTGCATTGCACTTGGTGATATAATGCTTGGATGCACATGCTCGGTGATGGAAACCCATTCCATGAAACCCTCTACGCACTGTTGTTGTGCCACATGAAGTTTGTAGGTCTTTAGCTATTGACTATGTAGACAGTTGGGGACTTCTGTGCACTGTGCGCTTCAGCATATACTGACCCCGCTTTGTCATTTTACATGGCCTACAACTTTGTGGCTGAGTTGATGTTGTTCCCAGTTGCTTCCACTTTGTTATAATATCACTGACAGTTGACCGTTGAATATTTAGTAGCAAGGAAATTTCATGGATGGACTTTTTGCAAAGGTGACAACCTATCACGGGATCATGCTTGAATTGACTGAGCTTCTGAGAGCGACTCATTCTTTCACAAATGTTTGTAGAAATAGTCTGCATGCCTAGGTGCTTTATGTTATACACCTGTGGCCATGGAGGTTATTGGAACACCTGAATCCAATGATTTGGAGGGGTATCCCAATACTTTTGGCAATATAGTGTATGTTACATCAGAAATTAATAGTTATAATTATATCTATATACAATTTCCAAGCAAGCTTCAAGGTTTGCGTGAGGGGTATCTGAGCAATTTAGGCATGGATGATTGGAACCATTATTCAGTTTGTTTCAGAAAAAAATCCAGCAAGACACAGTGGTTGTACACCCAAGAGAGGAAAGAGATATATGAATGACCATAGGAGGAGCTCGAAGGAACAGGACACTGAAACAAATATATTGAATAGGAATAAAATATATGCATTTAAGGGTCCATTTCTCTCATAATGTTGAAATCACTATCCAAATGCACCTTTATAGAGTAACAACCCAATAATAAGGGTTGTTTGCAACCGCTGATCATTAGATCATGGTGCAAGATGGAAAAAGTCCAAGTATCTAAAACAAACACATACCAATAAGTCATGGCCGCCAAGGTAAGGTTCTTCTCTTTTGCATGATACTTTTCTGGAATGTGGTGCTGTGAGTCCTCTTCTGGGTAACTTTCTTGTATACAAACAGCAGAAACTTAAGTGTATTGGATCAAAGAAGATGTCTTAAGGCACAAGCTGAATGCAGCCAATCAGAAGCTACATATAAGTAGGCAGAACTGAAGCTACACACATGCAGGTGAGATTTTAGGCAGGGTAAGCAGGGGCAGACTGACAACTCATGGGACCCCTGGGCAATAGGAGATCATGGGGCCCCTGTGTCCTTGCCCAAACTAAAAAAAACTATGAAAAAGGTACCAGGGGCATCTCATGGGGCCCCCTACTGACCCTGGGCCCTCGTGCAGTGCCTGAGTCTCCAAATGGTCAGTCCGCCCCTGAGGAGAAGAACACACAATTTGAGGCTATGCATAAGTTATCAGAAGCTGCACATAAATAGACTAAAGCTACACTAATACTGTCTGAAGCATACAGGTAGAAGCATAAGTCACAAATTTAAAGGATTGAGTGTACACAGAAGCTACTTATATACAGGCATGCTTGTTTTAGGTAACTGACATCTCAACAAAGACCAAGTGTATCAGAGAAGAGAGCCACAAAGTTGATACTCACTGAGACTGATACGTATGCACCAGATAGCCCTAAATAAGAGTGCTGCTGGCATTTCCTGAAGTAGTCACTGGAATGGGAGTATGGAGCACTGGATGGCCATGTACCAGGATGGTTGTTATCCCTGTGTACCTACGAGAGTCATGAGTCTTATCAGCTGAACTTTCCTCACTATCCAACTTGAAAAAGTACTTTACTATGCCAGTCTGTTCCCATTCGGCAAGTTCTCATCTGTAGTGGATACCTGAATGTATGTTTCTGGCCATGTTGCTGCTTGATTCCCATGTCAAAGCCTACCATTTTCTCCTTGAGAAAATTATGTCTTAATACTTGGCCATAGCTTCTTCTTTTCCATGGTTCACATATTGAGTAGGGATCTCCAATTAACCAAGATTTAATTTCCAGTTGCCATTTGGAACAATGTGAAATACAAATACAATATATTCTTTAAAACTGTTTTTCATATGCCCCTAGAGTATCCATGTTGCAAGCTGACATGGACTATTTGCACATTGCAATGTTTTTACATTCCTGATAACATGATTTGAGCTTAACTATTGTGCCAGTGTCTTGCCTTTGTCTTTGATTGCCTTAATGCTTTGATATTTGCTACTGTTCAGGTGTAGGGTAGTCTTGGGGGTGGCAATATTGTCAAAACATTTTACACACACTGGGGTATTTTAAGGTTGGGGGTTTACATTTAAGTTTATTTTACCTTGTTATTCAACATGTGTCTAAGTGCATTTTGATACCTTTCCCTTTGTTCAGTTTGGGATAATGTTATCTTCACATGAACGTTTTATGTATTTTGCTGTTTTAGGGCTTTTATTCATCCAATCTCCAACATAACAGTGTTTTGACCACACAGGGTTTTTTTTAACATAACAATAAACTGAAAAGTATTTCTGTCTCCTGGCTGTTTTGTAGCACAGCTCTGCCTATTCCTTTTTAGAACAGAGTTGCCCCAGTATCAGCCTTTCTCAGACATCAGTCTGGCTTGGAAGTCTGTCTGTGTAGGCCAGACAGACCTAAACATGTTTTCCCTACACATCCGGCTTCAAGCTGCTCTTGCAGCACACAAGTGCAAAGACTGACCAGAGAATACTCTCTTTTGTGAGCAACACCCATCTGACTCCAATCACGCAGTGACAGACCATCTGTCTGTCATGAAACATGTTTTTGTGTATCTGTCATCCAGCATTCAAGGGAAAAATGTATTTCTTTACCTAGAAATCAGAATATCACTAAATTAAACATAGTTAGCCTGCAGACATAAAACATCTAGTGAAACTTGTCTGTTGCTTCTAACATTTTTGTATTTGCAGTGCAATACATTCATGTATTTCAATTACGTAATTTTACTTCCATAAATGTTATCCCGTAAACAAATAAAAATAACATAAATTCCTATATTCATAGAACAAAGCTATTAGAACAAATGGTATATCAATGCAATATTCTACAATTTGAGATAGAATAATATGTTTTCTTTAATAAATCAACCTTTTATTTGTTGAATGAATCTATGTGGTCTGTTTGACAATGTTTTGCCTGCAATTCACAATTTTTATTGGAATTACATTTTAAAAAGTGTAAATCTTTGGAATAAAAAGTATGGCAATATGTTTTAATATTTACAAGTTATGTATTTATTATGATCATTACTAAAATATATACATTTAAAAATATTGTTTTTACATTTGAATCAGGTAACATCTCCATTTTCTACCACAGCTAAAAAATATATGAGTCAATGGGGTTGATTTACTAAAGGCAATTAGACTGTACACTTTGCAAAGTACAGTTGCACTCTGCAAGAGCAGTTGCTCCGGAGGTTAGTAAATGAGCAGAAGCTCTGCTGACTTCCATTATCCAATCATGGGAAACAAAAAATGCAGTTTTTTTTTTTTCCTTCCACGTGATTGGGTACTCTTTGCAAAGTGAAGCTTTACCTAATTTTTTAAGCTCTGGAGCAATTGTGCTTTGCAAAGTGCACAACCATTTTGCCTTTTTTAAGTCAACCCGAAAGAGCCCAGAGCTGAGCTTTGCTTTATGCATCGTGTGCAGCTGAATGTTTTGTCAGGGACACACAGAAAGAACCTCTTACCTCAGTGTACAGAAGGACCCTTTCCCACCAGTGTGCAGAAGAACCTCTTGCTCCATTTTTTAAAAATAATTCTCTCCCCACAGTGCGCAAAAGAATCCTCATTGCTGTACTTAGCAAGACAGAGTACAAAAATATCCCTGAGCACAGACCAGTGTAACATAGATATTGCAAAGAAAGAAAAATGTTTACATGCATCAATTCTCCAAAAATGCATTTTGACAAATTTAGGTACTTGGCAACAATCATGGTACTCTATGCTTTTGTTGGGTCCGGTGCAGGAAAAGGGGACTATGCAACATAATAGGGGTTAATTTGTTTCAGGGCTTAGATTAGTAGAAAGGTAAGTGTTAGGCTTAGATATTCAATGTTTTAGCTGTTTTGGATAGGGGGGTTATGTGTTAAGGGAACTTTAGGAACCTAAATGTACTTGTATTTTCACTATTTATCTACTTTAACCTCTAAAGCACCTTCTAACCTTTTGAGTTGAAAGGGACAGCTTTAACACAAAGTATGTAGGCAAAGTAAAACCCATTTTGACACTCAAGTTACAAGGACAAACTCCATGCACCAGATCAGAGAGACAACTAATGAAAAAAAAGATGAACAAAGGATTTGGTTCCAAAAAAATTAAATTCCTCCAAATGAGAGACAGCTTGGAGACGGTACTTTAAAAATATGTATTTTCAAAAAAATATTATTTCACCTTCCTTCAACCTTTATTGCATCTCATTGCTACTGAGCTCCTGCAGCCTTTGTGGAGTCACTTCCTTTCTATCCGGTGATGCTTACATGGCATTTCTCAGGTCAGGTTTCCTGATGGTGACAACAGTGGACAGTCTGAATAGTGCACCATGAAATGGCCACATATTACCATAATGAAAGTTAGACTTGGAAAAGCTAAAAAATGAAACTACATTAAAATGTTAGAGCTTATATGAGATTGTTTTAATTAGGATTACATATACTGTATGTTAACTGTTAAGGGCTCACTTTAGGAGTTAGGTTGGATGTTAAAGCTGGAGGGGTTAAGTGCCGGGTTAAGGATCAAGTGTTGAATGTAATAGGGCATTAAGAACTTGTTTTTAGAGGCTAGATTATAGCGTAAATTTGGGTATGCACAAAATAAATACCAATGACTTCAACCCCCAGCTGATGCAGAAATGAATGCTTATTTTACTACTAATCCAGGGGAATACATACATTTAATCATGGTTCCACACTAATTCCATCTGGTACAACTAGTCTCCTGAAGCCTTTCTTCTTGCCTGTCTCCAACCTGTCTTGTTGCTGTTCCTCTCAACAACGTCATTAATGCTTATTTGTCCTAAATTACATGATGACAGACCCATACACAATGAGTGCCTATACACATTTTGGTGCTCAGCAGGAGGACTGTGAAGTAAGATAAATATCTCCCTGTTTTTAATTACCCTCTAGTAAAATGAGCATTATAATCTGCATCGGCTGTAGGGAAGGAAGCACTGACATTTATTCTATGTATGATTAAAGATCTGCTTTAGGAGCTAAGTGTTCAGCTACGGAAGGTTTAAGTGTTAAGTGAGTTTTTTTCAGATAGGAGATACTGTACTTTGTTACTCCGCAGCTGTCCTCTGCACACTAATGTTGGGCATTGGGAGCTTTGTGCCAAAAACTGCCATCTTTAACTGTTTAGCAATAAGAACAACTATCGCCCGACTTTTGGTATTTTCTGGTGGGTTAATTAGTTTACCTAATTCTCT